TGCTCTGCAGCCCCACGCACTGCGTGCAGGGCTTGCACGGCTCCGTGGCGCTCACCGTGTCCGAGTAGGTGACACCTGGCAGGGGACAGAGGGTGAGGTCAGCAGGGTCCCAGCATGATGTCCTTGTCCCTGTGGCCACTTTGCTCCCCGGCGCTGGCTTTGTCCCATCCCCAAATGCTGCTGGGCCAGGGAGATGGGCTTGTGCAGTGACTACTAGCTGGGACCGTGTCCCCTTTCACCATTTTTCCCCTCCTCCAGGTCAGAGGGAGAGGTGTCCCCCCCTCTGCAGCCCCTCCCCACCACCGAGTATCCCCCAACCCACAAGTCTACTCTTCCCATTTACAGCTACCCCCTTGCTGGAGCAATTCCGGGGTGCTGCCCTCCATGTGCCCATCCCAGCGCTTGGTGTCCCCAAACAATCCTCCCTGCTCCCAGCCGGAGCACCAGCCCCATTTTTGACCTCTGGATGGTCCCTGTGGGCATCCCACAGCCACCGCTGCTCCCCAGCATCCCAAACGCTTTCTCCTCCGCATCCTGCCTGGGGGGTCCCTCGGGGCATCACCACCCTGCGCCCCCCTCCTCGGCCACGTGTCCCCAACGCGGGGCGTGATGCGAACAGGAGGTTACAACACTAATTGCTGACTCTCCTCTGACCCTGGGGCTTCTTGCTCTCCAGTTTCATCCTGCAGGACTGACTTTGCCAAGGAAATCAATCCTCCCGCAGCCCGGCAAGCCGCCCCCACGTTCCCTCCCTCCTCCTGCCCGCTCCCAAAGGTGTTTGAAGATATTTTTAGCCCGGGAAGACGGGTCAGCACCCATCCTGGAGGGCACAGCTGCTGTCCCTGCGTCGGCTGCCTCCCACTGATCCCTCCAGAGCCCGTGTTACCGCAACACCCCGCCTTCCCTCGTCCGAAATGCCGGGGGAAAGTCCAGCCTCCTCCTTGATGGAGAAGGTGTTGGGGAGCTCAACCGCAATCCCCCTGCTAGCCCTGCTCCTCGGGAAGGAATCCAGCCACATGCTAATCTTTAATTACCTGCTTGTCTCCCGAGGATGACCGTGGGAAACAGCAATTCCCACCCTCAGTGACCTCCAGCCTCCCCAGGTGGCCAAGGAGAGACGGAGCGATGGACAGGCTCAGGGCAGAGCTTCATTTTTGGCCGTTTTCAAGATAGAGGGGAAAAAAAGAGCCCCAAGACCCTGGTGATGGGCAGAACCTCAGCGTGTGCCGGAGGCAAAACTTCAGGGCACGGAGGGGCGAGGAGAAAAGGAAAGACCAGGAGCAGGGCAGGTGGGGGCGCACCCGGCGTGGACCCACCTGGGGCAGAAACAGGTTTTTTGTTGGGGAAGGATTTGACGGGGGTCCCCGAGGTTGCCGGAGGCTGCAGGACACCTTTCGGGCAGGAGGTTAAAGCCGGTGCTTTGGTGGTTTCGGGCAGAGACCGAGGAGGAGAGCGGTGTTTGCGGCTCTGGTCTCCTTCACCCGTCCAGCCACGGTACCAGCCGTGGGACCCGGCTGGCCAAGCTCCCTGGGGATGTTTGTGGCAGCGGGTGGGTGTCAGGAAGGGCAGGAGCCGTCCCAACCATAGAGACCGACATCATTTCACCTCAAGGAATTACCCATCCGCAGCGGGACCGGGATTCAGTGACCCCCAAATCTCCGCAGCTGCTTCCCTGGGTCTGGGCTGAGCCCAACCGTCGCCAGCCGGGGCACCCGCTGCCTTGGGGCTGAATTTACCCCCCAGGATTAAACCTGCCGAGCTGGTAAGGGTGGGGAGTGTGCATGGGGGCAGCCCGACTGCTCTGCTGAGCCCTCACCCAGGCAGGTCCAGATGTGCACCCACAGCTGTGGCTACAGCCCTGGGGCCACCCCAAGCCCCGGGCACCCCGTGTTCATTGCTCTTTACCTGGTGCTGCTTGGCCGTAGCTCCGTGTGGGAAGAGGCAGAGCCCTCCCGGTCCTGCCGTGCTGAGGGTTGGCCGGACCCACAGACCTCAGACGTGGCTTTCTCTGCTGCCCAAAGTTTGGGGATTGCTCAGAGCCAGAGGTTTGGCTTTTCCTAGACAGGGTGCTTGGCCAAGAGAGGCAGAGCCCATCTGTCAGGCTGGCGGGCGGTTCGGATCCAGGCTTGCCGCTGGGCCCACCTCCAGCTGTAGCATCCCCTCCCTTCCCCGCTCCGGTGTGAAGCGATTTTCCGTGCCAGGGCTCCGGAGCTAATGGTGCTGCGCCAAGCTCCCGTTTTGACTGGCTTCCTCCGAGGCCATCTCCTCAACCCCTCCTGCCTGCTAGGACACAAAACCCCACTGACATGACTCAAAAAAACAATTAAAAGCTTACAGAGGTGTTGCTCGCACCCTCCATCCGTGCCCCCCCCCCCTTCCCCCCTTGATCCAGCTGTCAAAATACTTTATGGTGTTAATACCTGCGGCTTTGTCAACAGGAGTTGTGATAATAACATGCACATTTCAGCGGGCTAATGCAGACCATGTGCCCCTCTTATAAGTTTGTTAATCTTTATGGGGGTTTCGGTGCTCAAGACGCAGAACTGAAAGGGAAACGCAGGCAGAGCGGCGGGGGCGCAGCACCTGGGACTGGAAGTTGAATTTTCGACAGCATTTAGGAACACGGAGGGGGGAACCGAGGCACTGGCCGCTCCATGAGGAGGGCACACGTGGCTGAAGGGGGGTCTCGGGGGTCAGCTGCTGGGGGTCCGGGTGTCGCAGGGAGGAAGAGGCCCAGCCTGGTCCCATCCCCGCGGGCGCACGGAGCCGCTCGCAGCTGCCTGCGGCGTGGGAGAGCTGGCCGCTGCCGGCCCCAGCTGCGCTGCCCCAGCCTTCCCAGCACTATTTATAACCAGGCACGTTCGGCTGCTCCCCCAGCCCCGCTCACGGCTTGCTGGGACGGGGCTGAGCTCCAGCCAGGTTTGCTCTCAAGCCCCGCGAGCCGCATCTGGCCCCCAGGAGAGGCGTGCAGCCAGCTCGCTGCAAAGCGAGCCCCCTTCCTCACCCCCAAACCCATCTCCCAGCTGTTATGTGGGGGTGCTGGGAAGCTCCCCGCCTTGTTCCCCCAAGCTCTCCCGCCTGCCCAGCTGGGGCCCAGCGCTGGCGAGGGCTGCCAGCCCGGGCTGGCGAGGCAGCGGCAGGGAGGAGAGCACATGCTTTCAAGCGCAGGGTAATTGGAGCACTTTGTCATTCAGATGCCTATAATTGGCGCTCCATTGTCTCAGCCGGGCCGGATGCTGCCGGATGATGCACAGCGAGTTCATAACGCCGCATTGTGCAAGGAGGCGGCCAACTGGCTGACGAGGCATCCAGATGCACGGGGAGGGGGAGCTCCTCCAAGCGTTTGCTGAGTTTCTTCCCCCCCACCCCCCCCCCCC